TTTTTTTTTTTTTTTTTTTTTTTTTTTTTTTTTTTTTTTTTTTTTTTTTTTTTTGTTAGAGTTAATTTAAATTTCCCGATCCCACTTTCTTTTATTATTTTTTTATTTTCTTAATCTAGATTAAACTATTAAACTTTTTTTTTTAATCTTTATTCTAATTTTTTTCATGAATTATTTAAGAAAATTACAACGAGTCCATGTGAACGATTATATTGATGGGTCATCATAATTGTTGGATGATGAAAGTCTCACATCAGCTAATTTAGGCAATGGTCATAAGTTTATAATCTATGAATACACTCTCCATTATTATGAGGCCTTTTGAGGAGGCCCAAAGCAAAGCCATGAGAGCTTATGAAACCTTGAGGGAAAACGTGAAAGAGAAAGCCTAAAGATACAATATTATTCGAGCTAGACAATAAGTTGTATATCAACGAGGACAGTGAGCCCCGAAGAGAGGAATGAGTGTCAGCGATGACGCTATGCCCAAAGAGGAGAGAACTGTGAGATCTCACATCAATTATAGAGAGAAAATAGTGTCTAAGGACGCTGGCCCCCCAAAGTGAGGTGTAGAGGTCTACCATCCAAAAGAGTGGTCATATCGACATTCTCTAAAGGTCTCCCGTCCAAAAGAGTGGTCATACCGACATTCTCTTAACTAGGTTAGGTGCGCTTTTACAAAAGAAGGGAGACAAAAACCAAAAAAAAAAAAAAAAAAAAATTGATTCTTTTTTGATTTGAAAAGATTCTCAATTTAATTTTACTCGTTTATACATTGAACGTTCATGATTCCCACCTAGTAATTTCAATGCATTTTCTATGAAGAGAAACTCTTCTTTATAAATCAAACCCTCTTCCTACCTCTCTCCATCCTCCATCTTCTTCCTTCAAACACTTCTTCATCTCCTCATTATCTCTCATTCTTAAGCTTTCCCAACAACAAAAATGGCGGTAAGAACAAAGAATCAGTTCATTTCCCTTCTTCCATTTCTCCTTCTCCAAGCTTTTTCAAGTACTAACAGTTTATGGGTCACTTTTTAATCCACAGAAAGTGGTGCTCAAAGTGGAAATGAGCGATTCAAAGACAAAGAAGAAGGTTTTGAGTGCGGTTTCTGGGCTTTCAGGTACTCAACATAGTAGAAACAAGCTTGTTCTGTCATATATGGTTGATATACTCATGTGGGGTTTGGCTAAAACTTGTAGGCATTGTGTCGATGGCAACCGACACGAAGGAGAACAAAATTACCGTGATTGGAACCACCGACCCGATTGAGATTGTTAAGAAAGTAAGAAAGATTTGGCCCTCCGCTTACATTATCAGCGTTGGCCCAGAGAAAGAAGAACCGAAGAAAGTAGAGCCAAAGAAACAAGTTCCGCCGACACCCAAAATCGAGCAGATTGATTGGGCTAAGGCTTGCATAGCCTTACAGTCTTGCCCCACGCCTCATTACTATTATTCATGTGAAGAACAATACAATCCAAATGCTTGTGTTATCTCTTGAATCCAAGGATTGTTTTCGACTTTTTTTTAAATATTTTACGAAGAAATATACGAGATTTCATATTCGTGATAAATGTGATTGTTCTTCAGTTTTATGTTAATATTCACGTGGTGGTATGATATTGGTTTAGTGTAAGTGGATAAATTCATATTTCTAGCAAATTTTATCATTTAGATTATGAAACCGACCATAATATACCAATTATTTTAAGGACTAACATTTTTAGAGACCGAAAGATCATTAATAGATGTCTACCGGTATAGATATTATTAAATTAATATAAATATGTATATATACTATAATAGATTTTTTTTTTTTTTAATAATTCCTCCAAATTAGATTTGTTCGAGCAAGTGGGCCGAAGTGCAAATTTAGGCCCATTTTAATTTTATTGGAGGCCCAAGGTGGGTGATAGACATATGGGCCTCCCAAGAATAAGAAAAACCCTAATCACTCTTCCTAATACCCCAAAACACAGTTGAAGAATTTCAACTATAAATCTTCGCCATTTCCTTAAATTGGGGTTTTGTTCGTCTTCGGCCGTCGCCTTCACCGTTCCAGCTCCAGGGAGAGAGAGGAGAAGGTTGCATTAGGAAGAGATGAAGACGATCCTCTCATCGGAAACCATGGATATCCCCGAAGGGGTGAAGATCAAGGTGAACGCCAAAATCATCGAGGTCGAAGGCCCTCGGGGGAAACTTATTCGCAATTTCAAGCATCTGAATCTGGATTTCCAGATGAGCACTGAAGAGGAAACCGGAAAAAAGAAGCTCAAGATCGATGCCTGGTTTGGCTCCAGGAAAACTTCTGCTGCCATTCGCACTGCCCTTAGCCATGTTGAGAATCTCATCACTGGTGTTACCAAGGGGTATCGTTACAAGATGCGATTTGTCTATGCTCACTTTCCGATCAATGCTAGCATCACCAATACCAACAAGTCCATCGAGATCCGTAACTTTCTTGGCGAGAAGAAGGTATAACTCTTTTTCTCTCTCTCGCGCTTTTTCCATAATTTGCACTACCTGGATGTTATTCTGGTGTCTGGATTCATATTTATTACTGCGTTTTCATCTTACGTTAATTGAATGTCGAATGATCAAGGCTTAACCGTTTGTGATTCGTTGAGCATTAAGATAAAATTTCAGTGAGTATATATTTATTTATTTTTTAGGAACGGAGTAGTTTTTCTTTTTAGATTGTCTTGACATGATTTCATGATTCTTCATCAGGGATATAGGTTAGCTTCGTTTCTGAGAATCCTTTTAAATAGTCTTTAACTGTGTCATTATGTAAGAAAATTTCTTTGATGAAATTTATTACAGGGACATTTTTTGGTCGATTTTTTTGAAGAGTGTAAATAAACAAGGCACCATTAATAGTAATGAAAAATGTTACTAAGAATCTTGAAGCAACCAGGACCCAGCAACTCAAATTTCTATATACAAGAAAAATCCACAACCCAATTGCTAGATTAGAGAACTAAACAAGCCAATAGCCTTCAGCTTAAACATAAGTCACCCTATACCCCTGGAAATAGAAACCAATACAATATAGAATGAGGCATTACCACTCACGACTACTTGGAAAATGCTAAATAATAAATTGGGCTAGCAGCAGATGGGTTGGACGACCCGTTCTGGATCACGACTACTTGGAAAATTCGAAGTAATGAACAATTGAAAACTGTGTTCTATAAAAAAAACTTGGAAACTGGGAAGTTGAGATGGATGTCAAGAGCAATAAGGGGGAGATGCTGAGAGGGAAAGATGACAGATTGTTGAGGAGAAAATGAGCGAGAAAGTGTTGTTCAAGTGTATTGAAAGGACGTAGATCACATTGAATACAGTCCTTTGATTATTTGATCCAAAGTCCCAACTATAATAATATTCAAACGAGTATCTAAACAGAACTGTGGGAAAAACCCTCTTTAATTAATTTAATAATTCTTTGTAAAAATGCATATACTGCTTTTTGAGAGGACTTGTATCAATCAGTAATTTCTGTAGCTTAGTTTCTTCCTGCATATATCTTCTATTATCCCGGATTCGGCTATTTGTATGATGCAATGTGATGTTTTCATTTTCTTTGTGCAATAGGTGCGAAAAGTAGACATGCTTGATGGAGTATCTATTGTTCGATCTGAGAAGGTTAAGGATGAGTTGGTCTTGGATGGTAACGACATTGAGCTTGTATCTCGGTCTGCTGCCTTGATAAACCAGGTCGCGTTCTCACCCATGCCTCTTTTGATTGATTATTGCTCGCAAAACATGTGCCTAGGCATTGTTGGTTCTATACATTAAAATTTTTTCTTTTTTTCTGGGTGACAGAAATGCCATGTGAAGAACAAAGATATCCGGAAGTTCCTTGATGGTATTTATGTCAGCGAAAAAGGAACTGTTGTTGAAGAGGAGTGTTGACTTGGGTAGTTTTGTTCAACCATGCTTTGGCTTTTGGTGATAGTTTCTTCTTATATATTTATATTTAATTCGTAGACAGATTAATGAGACAAAAAACTTATCTTAGACAAATTCACGAGATTTTAGTTCAAAGTTGATGTAACGGCGCATGGAGTAAATGTCAGTTAACGTTGTTTGGTTTGTTTCGGGATTTCGAGAAGACCTAATTTTGTTCCTCTCTTAGTGTTGAGTTAAGAATGCTGTCCATTTTCCAATATTTAGTCATTGGTGGTGTGGTGTGGGGAAGCCATTGTTGGTTGTTCCTCTCTTAATTGTTATCTTATATTGATGTTGAGTTATATTTTAGGGATGACTTTTGAACCTAGATTGTTAGCTAGTTCGACAATCATTTGATTTTTGAAAATTAAGTTTATAAATTTATATAATTCTTTGTTTAGAAAGATATTACAGAATATGTTGCCTCTTCACCATTATCTACTAGCTTTCCCACAAGTTTTCTTAGCAAAGGAAACCATACTCCAATTCCTAAGAAGCAAAGCTACTATTATCTCCTAGTTCTCCCAAACAAGCAGACCTCGAAGAGAAGATATCAATTATCATTCTTATATACTTCTCGAATACTTAGTATTGATAAAACGAGTATCTTTCGTTTATACATATAAGAAGTCCTTTTACTTCCTTCCCATTTTGTACAAACCCTAGTATAGATTGTATTATAGGTAGATTGACTCGATCAGATCTTACAACATTTGAGTATTAAAACTCTTGTAAAATAATAAATTCTGAGTAGATAATCAACCGAGATAAAATAATAAATTCTAAGCACATAATCAAAATAATAAATTCTTTAATGTATCGTATCATTTATCAATGACTAAATTAACTATAGATGATTTTTATTATTGGAGTTAACAATATGGATTAGTAGGAGGATAATCAATAGTTCGATCTTATTTTGTAAACGTATTTAATTTGGATTATAGTTCAATTTAGTTAGCTAAGTGTTTTAATATCTCTAACTACAATGTTATCTACTAATGGTATAAATATTAGAAATTGATAAAGTGTAATTAAACTATAAAATAATTTAAATGAAGATAATTATCATTTTTTTCTTTTATATTAGTTTAGATTTGGTGATTTGAAATGGGTTAAGATTTATTTATTTTTTTTTCAAATATTCTTAATTTGACTTATTATTATATTATAGTGCATGATATATTTTCTCTAATTCTGAAAGGTGTCTCATCATATCTAAATGTGACAGGTGTCTGATCACATAACAGACACTCCTTAAATATAAATTTTGAATTAGCAAAAACTTACCAAATTACTAAATTTAAACCAAGTCTAACGACATGAGTACATGACTAACATGCCGTGATTAAAAAAAGAATTATTTCAATTCATCGCATCCACTATAAATTATAACTTTGGTTCTTTCTATTAGTTTATATCAAACTTAGCTATTTCTATTAGTTTAGATTAATTTTGATATTTTTTATTAGTTTAGATTTGATGATTCTAAATTTAGTGTTTTGAAAAGCTTGAAATTTCATGGAATATTCGACTTATTTTAGTGCATGATATATTTTCTCTGGTTATGACAGGTGTCTAATCATATTTGACAAGTGTCTGATCAGAACAGACACCCCTTAAATGTAAATTTTGAATTAACAAAAACTTAAAATTACTTCACTTAAACCAAATCTAATTACATGATTATATGACTAAAGTCATTCTGTGATTAAGAAAAGTATTATTTCAGTTCAATCCGCCCCCACGGTTGCCGGAATTATGGTGGTCGCCGCCTCCTAATCTCATCAAACCCAGCAAAGATTTCATCTCTCACCATCAAGTTTGGAATCAGAATATCGTCGTAATCATCATCGCTATCGATCGCCATATCCTCAAACATCTCTCCCTCTTTCTCGTCTCCTCCGCCATAGTCATCGTTGAACGGTGTCATCGGAGAATCAGCCGGTGAAGAACCAGAGCCCACCAGAGCCGTGGTGGTCAGAGATGGATTGGGATCTCCAGTGGGGTTTTTGTTGGTGACGGAGGAGAGTGACCTGTTCCGAGAACTTCCGGCGAGGAAATTCCGGTGAGTCGGACGTGGATGAATGTGTTCGCCGGTGTAAGTGATGATGAAAGAATTGGGATCGGCGTTGCTCCGTTCAACTTGCTTTCTGGCCCCACACCCTTTTGAGCTGCTGCAACGGTAATAGTTTCTGTGATCATCAATTCAAATCATGGGAGGAGAAAGTAAGAATTTTCCCGAGAAACAAACAGAAAATAGAAAAGATTTTTTTTTATTTTTTGACCATTTATTTATTTAATTTAATTTTGGTATTTTTTATTAGTTTAGATTTGATGATTTTAAATTTAGTGTTTTGAAAAGCTTGAAATTTCAGGAAATATTCGACTTATTTTAGTGCATGATATATTTTCTCTGATTATGACAGGTGTCTAATCATATTTGACAAGTGTTTGATCAGAACAGACACCCCTTAAATGTAAATTTTGAATTAACAAAAACTTAACATTACTTCACTTAAACCAAATCTAATTACATGATTATATGACTAAAGTCATTCTGTGATTAAGAAAAGTATTATTTCAGTTCAATCCGCCCCCACGGTTGCCGGAATTATGGTGGTCGCCGCCTCCTAATCTCATCAAACCCAGCAAAGATTTCATCTCTCACCATCAAGTTTGGAATCAGAATATCGTCGTAATCATCATCGCTATCGATCGCCATATCCTCAAACATCTCTCCCTCTTTCTCGTCTCCTCCGCCATAGTCATCGTTGAACGGTGTCATCGGAGAATCAGCCGGTGAAGAACCAGAGCCCACCAGAGCCGTGGTGGTCAGAGATGGATTGGGATCTCCAGTGGGGTTTTTGTTGGTGACGGAGGAGAGTGACCTGTTCCGAGAACTTCCGGCGAGGAAATTCCGGTGAGTCGGACGTGGATGAATGTGTTCGCCGGTGTAAGTGATGATGAAAGAATTGGGATCGGCGTTGCTCCGTTCAACTTGCTTTCTGGCCCCACACCCTTTTGAGCTGCTGCAACGGTAATAGTTTCTGTGATCATCAATTCAAATCATGGGAGGAGAAAGTAAGAATTTTCCCGAGAAACAAACAGAAAATAGAAAAGATTTTTTTTTATTTTTTGACCATTTATTTATTTAATTTAATTTTGGTATTTTTTATTAGTTTAGATTTGATGATTTTAAATTTAGTGTTTTGAAAAGCTTGAAATTTCAGGAAATATTCGACTTATTTTAGTGCATGATATATTTTCTCTGATTATGACAGGTGTCTAATCATATTTGACAAGTGTTTGATCAGAACAGACACCCCTTAAATGTAAATTTTGAATTAACAAAAACTTAACATTACTTCACTTAAACCAAATCTAATTACATGATTATATGACTAAAGTCATTCTGTGATTAAGAAAAGTATTATTTCAGTTCAATCCGCCCCCACGGTTGCCGGAATTATGGTGGTCGCCGCCTCCTAATCTCATCAAACCCAGCAAAGATTTCATCTCTCACCATCAAGTTTGGAATCAGAATATCGTCGTAATCATCATCGCTATCGATCGCCATATCCTCAAACATCTCTCCCTCTTTCTCGTCTCCTCCGCCATAGTCATCGTTGAACGGTGTCATCGGAGAATCAGCCGGTGAAGAACCAGAGCCCACCAGAGCAGTGGTGGTCAGAGATGGATTGGGATCTCCAGTGGGGTTTTTGTTGGTGACGGAGGAGAGTGACCTGTTCCGTGAACTTCCGGCGAGGAAATTCCGGTGAGTCGGACGTGGATGAATGTGTTCGCCGGTGTAAGTGATGATGAAAGAATCGGGATCGGCGTTGCTCCGTTCAACTTGCTTTCTGGCCCCACACCCTTTTGAGCTGCTGCAACGGTAATAGTTTCTGTGATCATCAATTCAAATCATGGGAGGAGAAAGTAAGAATTTTCCCGAGAAACAAACAGAAAATAGAAAAGATTTTTTTTTATTTTTTGACCATTTATTTATTTAATTTAATTTTGGTATTTTTTATTAGTTTAGATTTGATGATTTTAAATTTAGTGTTTTGAAAAGCTTGAAATTTCAGGAAATATTCGACTTATTTTAGTGCATGATATATTTTCTCTGATTATGACAGGTGTCTAATCATATTTGACAAGTGTTTGATCAGAACAGACACCCCTTAAATGTAAATTTTGAATTAACAAAAACTTAACATTACTTCACTTAAACCAAATCTAATTACATGATTATATGACTAAAGTCATTCTGTGATTAAGAAAAGTATTATTTCAGTTCAATCCGCCCCCACGGTTGCCGGAATTATGGTGGTCGCCGCCTCCTAATCTCATCAAACCCAGCAAAGATTTCATCTCTCACCATCAAGTTTGGAATCAGAATATCGTCGTAATCATCATCGCTATCGATCGCCATATCCTCAAACATCTCTCCCTCTTTCTCGTCTCCTCCGCCATAGTCATCGTTGAACGGTGTCATCGGAGAATCAGCCGGTGAAGAACCAGAGCCCACCAGAGCAGTGGTGGTCAGAGATGGATTGGGATCTCCAGTGGGGTTTTTGTTGGTGACGGAGGAGAGTGACCTGTTCCGTGAACTTCCGGCGAGGAAATTCCGGTGAGTCGGACGTGGATGAATGTGTTCGCCGGTGTAAGTGATGATGAAAGAATCGGGATCGGCGTTGCTCCGTTCAACTTGCTTTCTGGCCCCACACCCTTTTGAGCTGCTGCAACGGTAATAGTTTCTGTGATCATCAATTCAAATCATGGGAGGAGAAAGTAAGAATTTTCCCGAGAAACAAACAGAAAATAGAAAAGAAATTTTTTTATTTTTTGACCATTTATTTATTTAATTTATTTCATGATTATTAATAATCTATTTTAAATACCTTGGATATGGAGATCCTTTAATGGGCTTTTGCCCATACTTACGCCAAGCCCACATGTCTGTTGAGAGATTATCTGCAGTAACATGGCATACAGTTCTCTTCTGTTGATTTTTTCTGTAATTTTTTTTTAATTATAAAAAAAATTCCCAATTATTACCCAAAAAAATAAATCAACACAAAAATTCAATTAAATTTCTTGCCTTTTTCTCGATTTAGGTATGTTAGATTGCACCATTGGCGAATTTGGGAATTCCGGCGGGAACGAAGGCTGGATTTGGTGGTGGTGATGGTTCTGCAGCGCCGCCGCCGTCTCTGCCGCCTCCACAGGATCCGGCTGCGGCAGAAAGGGTGTAATTTCCTCTTGAAAGTAACGGTTTGTGGTGGCGGTGGGAATTTCCGGCGCGATGGTGACGGCGGCGGTGATGGAGTTGGGAAGAAAACAGATAGCTTGGTGTAATTCATCGAAGCCGTCGTGTTGTTGTTGGGGTTGAAGTATGTCGGGAAAGGAGAATGCGACGTCGTTTGGATCGTCGTTGAATGTTAAAGAGGCGAGACAAGACAAGTCGGTTTCTGTGGCGGCGGTGGCAGTTGGGGTTGTCCTGTAAGCTGCTGAATTGCAGCTCCGGACGACGGCGGAGAGATCCCAGTCATTGTTTCCGGCCGCCATGGATGGAGGTTAAACACAAATTGAAATTAAAATTTTTAAAAATTGGAAAAGAAAGAAGCAAAAGAAGACGAAAATTTGGGAATTTGGTAAAAAAAAAAGTACAAAGGGGAAAGAATTGGAGGCAGAAACGACGGCGCTGACTTTTTTTTGATGCTCAGAGAGCCAAAGAGAGAGAGAGAAAAACAGAGAGAGAAGAAGAAATGAAAGAAAAAGAGCACTGACTTTTGAAATTCCCTAATTCTTTATTATGAATTTATACACACACACACACAAATAAAAAATAAAAATAATAATATTTTTTTAATAAAAAAGAAAATGAAAAATTACCAAATATACTTTTTTTTTTAAAAAAAATAATTAATATTTGATATTATCCTTTATCCTTTTAGGCTTTTGAGCAAATAAATAATATTTAAATTCATGATTTTTGAATTTTGGAAATTTAGTAAATTAAGTGACTAGTTTTTCTTTTTCCCATTTTGTTATTTTTATTTTTATAACTAAAAGTAATTACGTTATCTATAACTTTATAGCTTAAATCGTCAAAGGTTCGAGTTTCCGCTCATACGGTCACGTGTCCGTTTATCCGTTATTACTCCTAACTTATTTAATGATTGTTTTTCCTTTTTATTAGTAAAAAGCGTCTTTTGTCGTTTTGTCTCGAAACTTGTTTCGAATCCAAAACTATAATTTTAATACAAAAAATCAATTAAATTATACTCAGAGCACGTTTCAAAACTTTGAAGAGAAACCCAAACAAAAAATGTAGGTAAGTAGTGGACTTGAGCTCGTTGAAGACAGAAGAAGAGAGAGAAAGAGTGAAATGAATATAATAAATATAAAATTTTTTGACTTTGAAAGAAAATGTCAAATGGGGACAAAGAAAGAAGAGGGAAGGTGGCAAAGGTTGAGGAGGAAGAAGGTGTTTTTTGTGGCAGTGTGCAAAGGAAGGCGTTACACGAACATCTTTGACTCTCCCATTCTCTTTCTCTCACCTCTTCTCATTGGTCAATAGCTTTATAGGGATTAGAAACCTCTCTTTACTCCACGCGCTTTTCCCTCTCGTCCTCTTCACTTTTCCCCCACATGGGCCCTTCTCTTCTGCATGTTTGACACATCATCCTTTCTCCTTCTACGTCTTCCCTACGCGCCTCCCTTGCGACTCCTACTCCCACTTCTCTCTCAACACAATCCCCCTTTTATTCCTTACCAACCTTCCCATTTTATTTACCACTTTTTAATTTTTTTTTTTTTTTTTTTTTTTAAATCCATCTTCATTTTTCTATTAATTAATCTCTCAATAATAAGTAAAGAGAAATAAATAAATATCCACTTTTATTTATTTAATTACAAAAATATTTTTCTCACTATTACTTAAATTAACATTGATTTCTTGTATTTGAGGTTAGACATCAACAAAATTTTACATGAACACGGATAAATGTTTGTTATAAGGCTATATTGCATCGAGGTGGGTACAATTTTCATGCACATTGATTCGTAATTGACCCTAAGGTCAAAATATATACCCTTAAATATAATTCTTATACATACAAATAGGTAATTATTATAAATCTCATGCACAGAACAAAAAACACTTATATGCATACATATATAACTAATAGATATTGTTCGTTTTAACCCATTACGTATTGTCGTCAGCTTCACGATGAGCTTACATATGCTAGCAGTAGGCTTAAATTGTTACCGTGTCTTATCTCGAATAAAAACTTAACTCAAATCCTCGAAAGACTAGCAACTACTTCGAACTCTTATTTCTCATCCTAATATCTAATGTGTCAATTTTTTTCATAATTCACAAAATCATACAACTTAGATCCACTATTTTTCTAATATACCCTTCAATTTTAGGCTATTTTTAGCATTTTCAGATAGTATCTAAACTTACACGGCTTCTTACGAGTGTATACTGAAGCAGCTATAAATTCAAAAATAAATCAGTCTATTAAATGAATATTAAAAAGTGGGTCCGACAAATATTTATGAACGAACACACAAAGAAAGAGGTTGGTCTTTAAGAACAACGTCATATACATTGTTATAGAGTTGTTTAATGTTTTTTTTGCGGTATATAGTTTATTTAATAATATAAATGAGTTGTTTAATGGCGTTCATTTTAATTAATTAATTAATTAATTAACTCAAAATAAAATATATTATTGTGGTTAATAAGTATGTCATATTTTCTGGTTCATTGTATTTCCAAAAAATAGACATTAGTTAAACAGTTAAAGCAGCTCTAATTATATACAAAACTCCTCCTGTCACATATGATGTGTAATATTACATTAAATTTTTATTTAAAAAATTATTTTTTATTAAAAAAAAAAAAAAACTGATGTGTGTATGGTAGGGATGAGAATCTGGATCCGTAAAAAATGGGCTTCTTAATTAAAGATTCTCTTTTAATTTACTAAAATAATAATAATAATAAAAAAAAAAGGTCTTTTAATAAATGTGGAGTTATGTGAGGAATCTTTTTAATTTTCACTATTTTTTAAAAAATTAATTTATTATTGTAATTTTTAGTTTATTGTATTATTTTTCACCCATTAATTTTTAATGAATGTATAATTTTTTTAAATAATTTTAAAATTTGAATTGAAATTAAATAATTAAAATATTATGGTCCCAAGAGAAGGGATATTGGAGGTTTGTTTTTTAATAAATAATTTATGTATTATTATTTTTGTTTGGTATGTTTCATTGCATTGTTACTAATTAATGCAATGAAAACTCTTTTCCCCCAAATGTCAATTTTATAAGGGTTTGTTTTAAGAGTTTGTTGCAAGGGATTCCATCCCTTTATCCCTTTTTAATTTCACCTTTTTTTTTTTTTTTTTTTTAATTTATTTTTATCTTTCTAACTTTAAATTTAAATTTCTTTTAAAAAATAGAAATATCTTTTTTGTCATCCATAATTTTAGATCACATAAAAAGAATTTGAAATAAAAACCATCCCAATAAGATCCATGTTGGGTTCAAGATAAATAATAGAAATTGGATCCCCAACAAATAATCTAGAGCGGAATTGGACTCACTTCACGACGCATGCTTCTTGCACTTCGTCAGGCTTATAAACACGTTAGTTCATCTTTGTTATAAACTCGTAATCATAGAGTTCTCTATACCCAAATTCGCCCAAAAACCATACTAATCCGTCTATAATATATTGCTTAAATTATGTTAAGTTCTAAGGAAAATCGATTGTAGAATGAACTAATACTATTTTAATTTTAGTTGATATAAACGCAACTATATATATATATATTGTGTAAAAAAATAAAATTTGATTTTAGTAATTTTGAAATAATTATTTTTATTTAATTTTTTTTGCTAATCAGCCACTAATTTTAATAAAAGAGTCAAATTTTGCATAAAATGTAATGAATTTCATAGAAGAGACATACAATTTATATAATTAAAATTAAGTCTATTTTACAAGCAAATAATAAATAGATTTATAATTGATTAAACATTAAATATAGTAATTATTTTCATTCAATATATTGAATATATCGGCAGCAAATTAAATACAAGAATTTAAAAGGAGAGGGTTAGGAGAAATGAAATTGGATATTAAAGTCCTCGAACTTACCTAATCTATACCAAAATTGTTTTAAGAAAGATAGGAAGATCATTGTTTGTCGCGTTTCAGAAAGACAAAGACATTGTAATGATTGATCCGAGCTAACCGATAACGTATATTTAATTAATCGTGTTCTATAGATACGAACAATTATATCAACTAACTCGACATCTCAACTAACCTTTGATGTAAAATGTTCCTTTTTGCACTACAAAAATACTAAAATAGGTTTTGTCCCTTTAATGCCTTAGTGGACGGATATCATAACATTTGGAAGTACTATATTCGAGTGTAAGATCTATAAAAAAGAAACAATGATTTAGCGTTACGGAAAGTTAATAGCAGTATTACATGGCATGTCTTCGATGGATATGACCAATTTAGGTCATAAATGAGTGTATAAAGAAAACGTATTACCTAAAAAAGTGTCAAACCAATACTGATAAAATCGAATAAAACATAAACTATAGAAACTATAATGATAATGTAACAACTCAAGCTCACTGCTATAAGATATTGTCCTCTTTAGGTTTTTCCTTTCAGGCTTTCTCTCAAGGTTTTAAAACGCGTTTACTAGATAGAGGTTTCCACACCCTTGTAAGAAATGCCTCGTTCTCCTCTCCAACCGATATGGGATCTCACAACCCACCCCTTGGGAGTTCAACATCCTCGCTGGCACTCCACCTGATATTTGTCTCTGATACTATTTGTAACAACCCAAACACACCGTCCTCTTTGAGCTTTTCCCTTAAGGTTTTAAAACACGTATGCTATGGAGAGTTTTCCACACACTTATAAGGAATGCTTCGTTCCCCTTGTGGGATCTTACAATCCACCCCTCTTGGAGACTTCAACATCCTCGCTGGCACATCCCCCGATGTCTGGTTCTGATACTATTTGTAACAACCAAAATTCATTGTTAACAAATATTGTCCTCTTTGGGCTTCCTCTCAAAGTTTTTAAAACGTGTCGACTAGAAAGATGTTTCCATACCTTTATAGGGAATGTTTCATTCCCCTTTCTAACCGATGTGAATCAGATTAAAAAGAGTGATATGAACCAAGAGACATTAATCATACAATATGCTTCAATGAAGATGTGAAGAAAATATTGTTGAAATTATCAAAAGATATTTCAATTCATGCCACATTGAAGAAGAATGAAGTTCCGTATGATAAATTTTAGGTGGATTACAATTTAGAGTTATTGTATTTCATTAATATATTTTAAGACTTTTAATTTACTTTAGGTTACAATTACATAAGGGTTAATTAAGGCCATTAAATATGAATTTTAGAACTCTTGGAATGCCTTTAGTAGCTTCATTTTGAGACTATATAAAACCATATATATTGTATTTGTAAGTAGACATGGAAAATATATAGTGAAAAGAAGCATTTGTGCTTTCTTTAGCCAATGACTAAGTTTAT